CATCCCCCCCTGCAGTGCCCAGGGCTTGTGAGACACTCCTGCATCCCCCCCTGCAGTGCCCAGGGCTCACAGGACACTCCTGCATCCCCCACTGGTTTCGTTCACTGCAGATCACCTCGAATAAGAGAACCTCTTGCCCTGGCACTGCAGCTTCTTCTCTCCTGCTACCAACACTAATGCATTTACACCCATCAGAGGAGAATTAAATTCAGTGAATGACAAAAAAATCCCAAAATACAAAGCTGATGGAGGCGAAAGGAACAAAAGAAAACTAAAGACTATGCAAAAAGCAAGTGCCAATAAATTCTGCTGGGTTTTGCACTGTTAGTCCACACCAACACACATGAAGCCAATGCTATGTGTGGTGAAAAGAGAAGATGAGGTGACCTGGCCGAGGTACCACAAACACAAGTCCTCAGTCTGCAAGCCAAAGCTGTGGGAGCCACTATATCTGCAAACAGGGGCACAAGGAGGGCTTGGCATTGTCTTCCAGCTCCTCTGATCCTCAGAGGGCACTGTGCCAGCCCGGGCACTCGGGATAAACTGATCTGCCTTAAAATATAAACTGAATTAGGACAGCTGCCCCACAACTTCCACAGACAGTTACAACAGCTGATGTTTGCTTCAGAATCTTGCTCTGGTACCCTGGAACCAGCCTGTCATCTCCACACCTCATAGAAACCACCCTGTACTGACTTGGAAGAGGGCTTGAGAGACAACAAAATGCCAAGGCAGAAGAATGAACAGTGCTCAAACGCTGCATTTTTGACCATCCCATCTCAGATCCCCAGCTATATCATCACATTTTAAAGGAGGAAATCACAGCACTGCAGGCAGCATTTATCACTGAGTAAGCAGGAGGGAGAAGGTGGATTAGTTTCTTTACAGGAATAGGCAGTTTGTTTATGACCAGCCACAAAACACTTTGGCCACTCAGTTTTAAATTAATTATGCTCAGGGGGAAGAAAACACTCAACTCATTAACAGCACTGATTCTGGCATAAGCTTTATATTGCCTGAAATTTGACTTAGAACCCCAAAAATTCTGCCACTTTTGCTTTAGCACTGAAGCAGAGAATGAGAAAGAAATTCATGATAAATAATAAATTCTTTTCAGGTGCAGCCT